CCCAAAATTTTACACTTTATAGGCAAAAAAATTGTATTTTACATATATTCAAATAGAACGCATTCATGGCTTTGGCTGAACGTCACAGTGTAAGAGCCCAGAGAGTAACCCCTCCACAGGCCGTGGCGGAGTAGCGCAGTTGGTAGCGCCCTCGCTTCCCATGCCAAAGGTCGCGGGATCGATCCCCGCGTCCTCCACAGGCGAATATATTTTTAAATCCTTTATATTAAGTTCGCTTGCTTGCTTAGAACCGTGCAAATCTTTCGCTCGTTTTTTAACCCACTTCCCATGATCCAATCGAGCTGACATTTTGCACACAGACTCGTTGTGCGTGACAATTAATGTTCGTGAAATTTTTTTTCCAAAATTTTACACTGTTTAGGGAAAACAAATTAAATATTTAATTACCAATTGCTTAATACTGGCAGACAATCATCTGACCCATAGGTGGCAGCCATCTCAAGCCAGAGGACGAGAAGACTCTATCCGCCACGCATATAAAGGATTTATAGTGAAAAACTTTGTTTTTACGGGTTATACTTATTGCATACTCATCAGTTCGCTCAACACACCAGATGCGCTTCTGCGGCCGTCTGGAACGCTCTTCCCTTGCGATATTTGGAAGCCACTGGAACTGCATGCACTTTTAAGTCATCCCGATGGACAAACTCATTTCTTTATAACTGCTTCTTGTGTTTAGTTTGTTGTCCTGCCTTTCCCACACCTCCGATAAGTTCAACACACGTATCATCACCACCTCATCATCACTTTCATCATTACCATCACCTCATCACCATCACCTCCTCATCATCACTTTCATCATCACCATCCCTTCATCACCATCACCACCTCCTCATCATCATCACCACCTCATCATCACCACCTCATCATCACTTTCATCATCACCACCTCATCATGACCACCATCACCTCTTCATCGCCATCACCACCTCATCACCATTACTACCTCCTCATCATCACCTCATCACCATCACCACCTCATCATGACCACCACCACCTATTTATCGCCATCACTACCTCATCACCATCACCACCTCATCGCCAAGCCACCGGAGCTATGCACCCCCCCCCCCCGGCACCTCCGATTCGCAATGGAGGACAGCAGAGCTCGGGCAAGTCGTTGGTAGTCGCCGGCTCTTCAACTGGCTCCTGCTGCTGCTGCTGCCTTGGCGGCCTTGTCTGTGGTTCCTCGGTGATTGTGAAAGATGCACTTTGCGTAAAACGCCGTCGTTATTGTTATTTTTGATACAGCTTAATGCTCATCGAGATCGGAAGTCAGTTATTTATTTAAGTCTTCAAACGAGCATTCACAAAAACAAAGACCCCCCCCCCCCCCCGTATAGCCTCAACAGACTGTTGGGGCAAGTGCTGTTAGCGAGCAGCACCTACGAAGGCCGGCACGGCACACGAGGGGGTGGGTGACCAGCACCACGCCCGACCGCCTTTGTCTCCCCAGTGGCGATGTTTACACACCGCACCAGGTACTCATTTGAGGCTGATTCAACCTAGGGGAGACCCAGGACCGGTTCAGATAATCATCACTCGCGTTTGCCGTGAGCGGGAATCGAACCCGGGTCGCCAGGTTCGTAGCGCAGCGTAGCGCTAACCACTACACCCACCGCTCCAACAAAAACCGCCATTCGCCACTAAGTGGCGGTGACGTCACCACGACGCTTGTGCCAGGCTAGGTGCACTTTGAGGCTACCACGTGAATTGTCGAACGCCCGCTGGCAGGAGGTCACGGGGCAGACCCAGCAGGTGCCACGGGTCGGCTGACTGAGACGACTGGCCAGAAATTGCAACCGGGTACCCGATACCCGTACCCTACCCGATACCCGGCTACCTGTACCCGGCCGGGTACGGGTACGGGTAGCCGTTTACGACCCTGGTTCCGGCCGGGTACGGGTACGGGTAGGCCGTGAGTCACTGGTGAGTAACCGTTTGTCACTCATTTCGGGTAGGGTACGGGTACAGGTAGGGAACGGGTACACGTACCCGGCCGGGTACGGGTACGGGTAAGGAATCAAAACCCGTTTGCGACCTCTGCGACTGGCTGACGCACCACCTGTGCCCCCCTACTGTGCCAACGCTCCACACACGCGCGCACATTCACTCACTCTGCAGTACAGGGGGAGAACACGTGCACACACACTCCACACTCACAAATATTCCCGAGTCAGGAGTTGAACCCAGGTGCTTCTCGCTACGAGGCACGAGTGTTACCACAGCGTGACCCGGCACTGTTACGCGGATCATAAAGTTTAAAAAAAAAACACCGACCATGGCTTGATTTGCATAAATCTTTATGAGCTGACCTTCGGCTATTACAGAGTTGACCCACAATCCGGTAAAGCTATTTTCGTCTTGTTCATGATGCGTACTTTCTTCTCGACGTGGCGCACGCATTTTAAGAGCATCCTGTGACCAAAACATAAGCCCTACACGCGGGCCTCATCTGAACTTAAATACAGGTCACTGTGTCTCACTCCACTCCCCTCCCCTCCACGCACTCTCCTGCCTCTCCCTTCTCGTCTCACTCTACTCCCCTCCACGCACTCTCCTGCCTCTCCCTTCTCATCTCCCTCTACCCTCTCATCTCACTCCAATCCCCTCCACACACTCTCCTACCTCTCCCCTCTCACCTCACTCTACTCCCCTCCACGCACTCTCCTGCCTCTCCCCTCCCATCTCACTCTAATCCCCTCCACGCACTCTCATGCCTCTCCCCCCTCATCTCACTCTACTCCCCTCCACGCACTCTCCTGCCTCTCCCTTCTCATCTCCCTCTACCCTCTCATCTCACTCCAATCCCCTCCACACACTCTCCTACCTCTCCACTCTCATCTCACTCTACTCCCCTCCACGCACTCTCCTGCCTCTCCCCTCTCATCTCACTCTACTCCCCTCCACGCACTCACCCGCCTCTCCCCTCTCATCTCACTCTACTCCCCTCTCATCTCACTCTACTCCCCTCCACGCACTCTCCTACCTCTCCCCTCTCATCTCACTCTACTCCCCTCCACGCACTCTCCTGCCTCTCCCCTCTCATCTCACTCTACTCCCCTCCACGCACTCTCCTAACTCTCCCTCTCATCTCACTCCACTCCCCTCCACGCACTCTCCTACCTCTCCCCTCTCATCTCACTCTACTCCCCTCCACGCACTCACCCGCCTCTCCCCTCTCATCTCACTCTACTCCCCTCTCATCTCACTCTACTCCCCTCCACGCACTCTCCTGCCTCTCCCCTCTCATCTCACTCCACTCCCCTCCACACACTCACCCGCCTCTCCCCTCTCATCTCACTCCACTCCCCTCCACGCACTCTCCTACCTCGCACCTCACTCTCCCCCCCAGCAGCCAAGACTTTCTGTTTAAGGCACCGGTCAACCTCCGCTCAGTGGAAGGTCGCTCCTTCTCCTCTGCTGCCCGCGTTGGCTAGACCGCTCTTCCCCCAGCTATGCATGCTGTTTACTCCCTGTACATTCTCAACTCCAGGCTCAAAAAACCTCGTCTTCCCTCTACGACTGTCTCTCTCTCTCTATGCTAAATTCCTCTTGATATGCAAATTATTTTGTCAAGGCGCTCTTCTTCCCCCTCCAACCCAGCTTAAATATACGCTCCAAGCTTGGCGGTGTTTCATTCTTCACCTGAGGACGGCTGCTTGCGTTGTAGCCGAAACGTCGTGAGAATTATTTTATTATGTTTTATTTTTGTTATTTTATGATTTTATTATTTCCCTTCTACGTGACTTTACCGAAAGAACCAAGAAGATGACTGCCCATAGACTAACACTGCCCATAGACTAACACTGCCCATAGACTCAACACTGCCCATAGACTAACACTGCCCATAGACTAACACTGCCCATAGACTCAACACTGCCCATAGACTAACACTGCCCATAGACTCAACACTACCCATAGACTCAACACTACCCATAGACTCAACACTGCCCATAGACTAACACTGCCCATAGACTAACACTGCCCATAGACTCAACACTGCCCATAGACTAACACTGCCCATAGACTAACACTGCCCATAGACTAACACTGCCCATAGACTCAACACTGCCCATAGACTCAACACTGCCCATAGACTCAACACTACCCATAGACTCAACACTACCCATAGACTCAACACTGCCCATAGACTCAACACTGCCCATAGACTCAACACTGCCCATAGACTCAACACTGCCCATAGACTCAACACTGCCCATAGACTCAACACTGCCCATAGTCTCAACACTACCCATAGACTCAACACTGCCCATAGACTCAACACTGCCCATAGACTCAACACTGCCCATAGACTCAACACTGCCCATAGACTCAACACTACCCATAGACTCAAAACTGCCCATAGACTCAACACTGCCCATAGACTCAACACTGCCCATAGACTCAACACTACCCATAGACTCAACACTGCCCATAGACTCAACACTGCCCATAGACTCAACACTGCCCATAGACTCAACACTACCCATAGACTCAACACTACCCATAGACTCAACACTACCCATAGACTCAACACTACCCATAGACTCAACACTACCTATAGACTCAACACTGCACCTCCGATTAGGACGGTTGGCTACGTACGGTGCGATAGAAGTTCAAGATACACACATAGTTGTCATCATTGTTATTATTGAGCTTATGGCGTATATCTATTCTACACGATCTACACTTGTGCGTGCAGTTTTTACTATAATGTTGATTTTTTAATGTACAGCGCTTTGAGATTTCGATATGAAAGGCACTTTATGAACGACAGATGATTGTTATTAGTATTGCTGCTACTACTACGACTGTGACCAGATTCCATCTTCATGGCACGGGCAGTTGAATCCACGGAGGCCAAAAGAAGAAACAAGGTGATGGCAAAGGGGCACTGCCTGAAACGTCGGCCTATTTCATAGGGTGATCAATCTTCAGGCACACCTCTCAAACAAAGAGGGCCACGTTTCCACGTTGGAGATTTAAAAAGATTCGTTTTTATTTATTTAAACTAAACTATAAAAAAACTAAACGATGTCTTATTTGACCAAGTAAGGCCCCCACTGAGCTATGTAGCTCTTGACGATCACAAATGATCATCATCATCGTGTCGAAATTTAGAGCAGCAAAATCAACTCTAAACGCGTGGCGTTGCTTCTAAATGTGGAGGAGGGGGGGTGAGAAACCGGGGGACCCGAAGAACAAATCCACGCGACCACGGAGAGAGAGACACGCAAACTCCAAATATACAACAGCAGGCGTCAGGGGTTCGGGATCGGACCCACGACCTCTTGTATACCAGGCGAGGTAACTAACATCTCCGAGTCACCGTGATGATGATGATGAGAGAGAGAGAGAGAGAGACATTTCAACTCAAAATATACAGCAGGCGTCAGGGTTCGGGATGGAATCCACGACCTCCTGTATACCAGGCGAGGTAGCGAACATCTCCTAGCCACCGTGATGATGATGAGAGAGAGACATTTCGATTTAAAATATACAGCAGGTGTCAAGGGTCGGGATCGAACCCACGACCTCCTGTATACCAGGCGAGGTAGTTAACATCTCCTAGCCCCCGTGATGATGATGAGAGAGAGAGAGAGACATTTCGACTTAAAATATACAGCAGGTGTCAAGGGTCGGGATCGAACCCACGACCTCCTGTATACCAGGCGAGGTAGTTAACATCTCCTAGCCCCCATGATGATGATGAGAGAGAGAGACATTTCAACTCAAAATATGCAGCAGGTGTCAGGGTCGGGGTCGACCCCACAACCTCCTGTATACCAGGCGAGGTAACTAACATCTCCGAGTCACCGTGATGATGATGATGAGAGAGAGAGACATTTCAACTCAAAATATACAACAGGCGTCAGGGTTCGGGATGGAATCCACGACCTCCTGTATACCAGGCGAGGTAGTTAACATCTCCTAGCCCCCATGATGATGATGAGAGAGAGAGAGACATTTCAACTCAAAATATACAGCAGGCGTCAGAGTCGGGACCGAACCCACGACCTCCAGGTGAGGTAGCTAACATCTCCGAGCCACCGACGCCTCTTAAACGAGTCTCCCGAACCAATCGCACTAACGTACAGTAACACGGCATGGAACAACTCTTGACACCGCTCCGTCTTCTGTCGGACAAAGGAGCCCCCTCGCGTTCACAACACTCAAATCTGTCGGGAAGACAGCGACAGAGAGAGACACAGAGAGGCGGGAAGGGGTGGGGTGAGTGATTAGACATCGGTTAAGGGTGTCGAGAAATGCAAGAATTGCCAAGGGGCTCCCCTGGGCGGCGGTGGCAGCTGCCCCTGTGCACACACAACGCAATGTGATCGGTAGAATCCCTGGGGAGAATTATAGGCAACATAATCGGCGAAAAAAGAAAAGTGGCACGGTGCAATGGTTCATCTTCTTGGTTCTTTCGGTAAAGTCACGTAGAAGGGAAGTAATAAAATAATAAAAATAAAACATAATAAAATATTATTTTTATTATTTTATTATGTTTTATTTAATAAAAAGAAAACATAATAAAATAATTATTATGCCCGTGCATTATGTAGGATTAGCAGCGTCAAAGGGAGGGAGTAGGGTTAGCAGTAATAAAGGGAAGGAATTTTAATAGTAAGGAGCTGCAGCAACTAAACCGTATGTTCCCCGTCACATTAATCGCGTTATAGTCAACTCGCGTTATGAAACACGTGTGTTGTCTGTCACATTAATCGCGTTATATCCAACCCGCGTTATAAAACACGTGTGTTCTCTGTCACATTAATCGCGTTATATCCAACCCGCGTTATAAAACACGTGTGTTCTCTGTCACATTTATCGCGTTATATCCAACCCGCGTTATAAAACGCGTGTGTTCCCCGTTACATTCATCGCGTTATAGTCAACTCGCTTTTGAAACACGTGTGTTCTCTGTCACATTAATCGCGTTATAACCAACCCGCGTTATAAAACACGTGTGTTCTCTGTCACATTAATCGCGTTATATCCAACTCGCGTTATACAACACGTGTGTTCTCTGTCACATTCATCGCGTTATAGTCAACTAGCGTTATAACAATACGTGTGTTATGTTACATTAATCGCGTTATAACCAACTGGCGTTATAAAAGCTACACGCTGCGTCGTAGGAGAACTGGGCCGCACTTTCCGTTGCAGGAGAAGCTCCATTTTCCGGTTTAACGACGAGTCCTGCGGGTTCACCCGACTTAACACCCTGAGATGCCTTCTTTTATCTCTGAGGTTTATTGTCTCTTTAAAAAAGTAAAAGTTTTACGCTTGTAGGAACGTAAAAACCCCTGTTGTTGCTGTTGTTGTTGATGATGAGTTGGAACACCGAGTTAGATCGACGACCGTGAATGATGGTCGACATGGGGAAGCGTATTAATCATTCGAGAACCACCTAATCGATATCGTGAAAAAATGTAATCAACTAAAACTCGTAAGCATTCACGTCACATCTATGTCAGTATCTCGAATAACAATATCACTATTCAACGTTATTTTTCACAAGCAGCATTTGTTTTCGGACACACCCCGTGTTTATATTAGTGGCAAAACAGCGTACTCAGATTGTAAATGTTGTGGCTTGGCTCTCCAACACACAACCGGTGTGCTGTACTAGTATACCACACTATACACTACACTATACACTACACTATACACTACACACTACTATACACTACACTACACACTACACTACACACTACTATACACTACACTACACACTACACTATATACTACTATACACCACACTATACACTACACACTACTATACACTACACTATACACTACACATACACTACACTACACACTACACTATATACTACTATACACCACACTATACACTACACACTACTATACACTACACTATACACCACACTATACACTACACATACACTACACTACACACTACACTGCTATACACTACTATACACTACACTATACACTACACTACACACTACACTACTATATACTACACTATACACTACACACTACACTATACACTACTACACTACACACTACACTATACACTACACACTACACTATACACTACTACACTACACACTACACTATACACTGCTATGCACTACACTATACAATACTATACACTACTATACACTACACTATACACTACACACTACACTATACACTAGTGCTGTACTAGTGACAAATTGTCCACGTTCTGTTGACGTGACAACCCTTCCTAGTTGGCTGTGTCGGGTGGTGGCGGGTTTAACGACACATTTATATATTTACGCGATCTCACCCAACACAAACCCTCTATTATGCACACAGACGCACACAGACGCACGCGTACCGAGCATTGCATAAACACCGTACCCCTGGTGGTTGAAGATCGAGTCGCGTTCATTGCGAGGGGAAGTTCAGCACTTCGATGGAGTTTTCTCTGTGGGGTCAGTGCCGTTCCCCAGGTCTGATGCACACACACGCACACAAAGACAAAGACAAAGATCCACCCGTGTAGCCCTAACAAACTGTTGGGGCAAGTGCTGTTAGCGAGTAGCACCTATGAAGGCCGGCACGGCGCACGAGGGGGTGGGTGGCCAGCACCACGCCCGGCCGCCTTTGTCTCCCCAGTGGCGTATATTAACACATCCGCACCGGGTACTCATTTGAGGCTGAGTCGACCTAGGGGAGGCCCAGGACCGATTCAGATAATCGTCACTGGGTGTTGGCCGTGAGCGGGAATTGAACCCGGGTGGCCAGGTACGTAGCGCAGCGTAGCGCTAACCGCTGCACCACCGCTCCTACGCACACGCAGTGCCGGATTAAGCTAGTGCACGGCCTGTAGCATATGTTATGAAGGGGCGCTAAATAAAATAAAAAAACACAAATATTAAAGCACTAATTTTTTCACTTGCATAGTAAAGTTATTGTATTTCTTCATTTGCTATACAGCCAGATAATGCGACGAACCACTAAACTTAAACACCAAGTCTTTCGTAAATGCTAAAGGTAGTATATTACTATAGTAATACAGCAAGTGCAGAATTCTAGATTTGAGGCTTTCGTGACTGCAAGGATTCATACTCTTAGTTCTTTCGGTAAAGTCACCATGTAGGTAAAAAATGATAAAATTTATAAAAAATAAAACAATAAAATTACGACGTTTCGGAGGCAACACAAGTCTCCGTCATCAGGTGGGACCGTCACAGCCAGATTTGCTGTATCAAGTGTATTTAAGAACTTGCATCTTGGAATCCCTGCCTCACTTGATGCAGCAAATCTGGCTGTGACGGTTCCACCTGATGACGGAGACTTGTGTTGCCTCCGAAACGTCGTAATTTTATTGTTTTATTTTTATTAATTTTAATTTCATTTTTTACCTACATGGTGACTTTACCGAAAGAACTAAGAGTACAAGTGCAGAATCACTGCACCGGAATTGACAAGCTTGAAAGTGCGGGGCCCGTAGCAGATGCAGCTACGTTTGCGACTACGACACTCAAAATCGGTGTCCGTCAGTGAGAGTCTAAGGCAGCGGTCGGGAACCTATGGCTCGCGACCATCATCACCACCATCACCACCACCACCATCATCATCATCATCACCACCACCACCACCATCACCACCACCACCACCATCATCACCACCACCATCACCACCATCATCATCACCACCACCACCACCATGATCACCACCACCATCACCACCACCATCATCACCACCACCATCATCATCACCACCACCACCACCACCATCATCACCACCACCACCATCACACCACCACCACCACCATCATCACCACCACCACCATCATCACCACCACCATCACCACCACCACCACCATCGTCTCTTTCCCCCAAAGCTCTTGCAATCACAAAGTCGCTCAACGAAAGACGAACCGACGATGACTATCCTGCAGTCACCAAAGCTTCAAATCAAGATCATCACCGTACCCTTTGGTTCGTTCGGCAAAGTCACGTAGATATAAAATAAAATAAATCACGACCTTTCGACTTTACCGAAAGAACCAAAGAGCATGGATTCCTGCAGTCACGAAAGCTTCAAATGAAGACTAAACCGACTTTTATCGCCGATGACAACTTTTAGCGGCGATCACGTTGCGCGTTTCCGCGACCTTGATCACGACGAATGTTTAACGGTGTCCGTTCGTTTTCCGGGTCTCTGGCCTTGCGCTCAACAAACAGCCGTGATGGATAAAATGCAAAAACACCTAAAAGCCACCGCCTTGCGGCACGCTCTGCACACCCCCATCGGCAGCACCATGCGGTGTGCATGAAGGTGACCGCCGTTGAAGCGGAACACCTCACGGAGTTTGGCGTCTGTCCCCCACACCTCCGATTATGATGGTGGGAGACGCACGGTGGCTAGGAGATGTTAACTACCTCGCCTGGTGCGCAGGAGGTCGTGGGTTCGATCCAGACCATGACGCCTGCTGCTGTATATTTGGAGTTTGCGTGTCTCTCTCTCTCTCATCATCTATAGACTCGCACAGAGACCCATAGACTCACACAGAGACCCATAGACTCACACAGAGACCCATAGACTCACACAGAGACCCATAGACTCACGCAGAGACCCATAGACTCACACAGAGACCCATAGACTCACACAGAGACCCATAGACTCGCACAGAGACCCATAGACTCACACAGAGACCCATAGACTCACGCAGAGACCCATAGACTTAAATAGAGATCCATAGACTCACACAGCAACACATAGACTCAGAGACCCATAGACTCACACAGAGACCCATAGACTCACACAGAGACCCATAGACTCACACAGAGACCCATAGACTCACACAGAGACCAATAGACTCACACAGAGACCCATAGACTCACGCAGAGACCCATATATTCACAGAGAGTTGGACGGGCTAAGTCGCGGTGACCTCTGTGAAGATCTGACCCCTGACCCTCCCCGGTCCCCCCGTGTTCCACGCTTCGACAATGCGCTGGGATTTCCATCGCTCGGCTACCTCCACAGAGATTTTGAAGAAGAACAAGAAGAAGAAACAATGCGGCTGGCGATGGAGAGAATGCAGAAGGCAGACAGCTGGAGGTGTTCTGCTGCTGTTGTTGTTGTTGAGCAAACCGAGTAACTCTCCAAGTCGTGCGGCAGTCACAACGGTGGCAGCGGCGGCGGCGAAAGACAGAGGTCAGCAAGGAATCGTCATGCAGACAGAATGCCCCCCACCCCCACCCCCACCCCCCTCCAGGTTGTCAGTGGTGGTGCCGGCCGATTGAGGGGGGCCCTCTCTGCATTCATTACTTTTGCAGGGCCTCCCAAACCCCTTTCAGTCACGAAAGCTTCAAATCTAGAATTTATAGTTTAGTTTAGTTTTCGCAACCAATATCATCCATAATGCAGGTTTTTTTTGGGGGGGGGGTTAGATTGCGTGAATATAAATGTGTCGTGAAACGTCGTACTCAGATTGTAAATGTTGTGGCTTTGCTCTCCAACCCACCGGTTAGTGCTGTACTAGTAACGAATTGTCAATGTTGTAGTGGGTTTACACTCCAACACACAACCGGTTAGTGCTGTACTAGTAACGAATTGGCCACGTTCTGTTTACGTGACAAACCCCTTAACTAGTCGGCTGTGCCGGGTGGTGGTGGAGGCTTCAACGACACATTTATAATCACGTGATTTAACCCCAAAAAACACCTCTACCGTGGAGCTTATAGTTCAGTTTAAATTTAAATCCTGCACCGCCATGAGCCACTCACTTTGATTTACGCCACGGAACCACCGCTGACTTTCGACAACCTCGTCACATTCGCAGGGGGAGAAAGAGAGAAAGAGAGAGACACAGGACACAGGCAAACGTCGGGCCAGGACCAACACTGGCCCAACGTCAATAAAACTTTAAGCCAACGTCGGTTCAACGTCAGACCAACACTGGCCCAACATCAACCAAATGTCGGGCCAACGTCGGTTCAACGTCAGACTAACACTGCCTCAACGTCAACAGAACTTTGAGCCAACGTTGGTTCAACGTCAGACCAACACTGGCCCAACGTCAACTAGACGTTGGGCCAACGTCGCATGCATTTTTTTTGTTCTGGGCAAACGCTCCGTGCAACTTCAGGAGGGAAAAAGCGCCGCACTAAGGAAAGGCCATGGACACGGGTTCGGTCCCATCACGGGGCTTCCGTGTGTTCGTGTGTGCTCCTCCTCAAGGAGAGTCCACCAAAGTCCGCCAAAGTTCACCATAGTCCTCCATAGTTCACCATAGTCCACCAGAGAAATCCACCAGAGAAGTTCACCAGAGTCTGAAACGCGAGGACCAAAGTGTCTTGAGAAATCCTCGCAGCAGCGGCAGCAGCGGCGGCAGTGGCAGCGTTGAACGTAGCGAAGAAGAGAAGAGAACCCCCCCCCCAACCGCCCCCCACCCCACCACCATGGTCCTACGGCGGATGCCGACCGAGCGATCGCGATCACTCGGCAGGAACCCAAAGCGGCGTGCGGGACCGCGGGGTGGTGACGTACCGCGGCCTCCCCGCCGGCGAGCCTTCGACCGTTCTTTGCGGCCGCATAGCGCACCGAGCCTGGCGCAAGCGCCGCGCACCGTTCACGAGCGCGCGTGCGTCGGACTGCCCGTCGCGCCGCACATAGCCAACCGCGATCATCGGAGGCGCTGGGGGGGAGAAGGGTGACGGGCTGGCGACGTCACTTAGCGGCGAACGGCGACCATTTTGTTGTTGTTGTTGTGTTGCATGGTCGTGAATGCCAACTCAAAGATGGCCGCGGGTAGCCTACGCAGCGTGTTGGGGCTGGTGCTGTTAGCAAGCAAGCGGGGCATCTTTGTCTTTGTGGTGCGTGACGGCGCGTTGGGCGACTTGTTAACTTATTCGTTGTGCTTTGCATCTGCCTTAATTAGGTCTTTGCAAACGCTTCGTATTAATATTACTTTAAAAAGTTTTGCTGGCTGGAGGGAGGTAAGGACGGACGGGCGCTCGCTCACATCCAGCAGAACGTGTGGGCTGATGTTTATTACAAATTTCGATGTCTACGCTCCCCGCCTTCGACAACCCAAACTTTTTCTCTCTCTCCCTTTTGTCATTTCGAGGACCCAAGTCACTCCTGAAAATGAGACTGCTCCATCCTGCTCCCTAGAGTTCCCACCTGGCAGCTGGCCGGCCAGCGTGGTGCCAGCCACCCACCCCCACTTTGTGTGCGTGCCGGCCTTCGCAAGTGCTGCACGCTACGAACAGCACTTGCCCTGGCAGTCCGTCGCAGGCTACACGGGGAGGAAGGGGGACCTTTACCTTTGCGTGTTGAACACGCCACAGCAGGCGGGCGCGCTGCGCTACATAGCCCGAGTTCGATTCCCGCTCATGGCCAACCGGTTACCCGAAACCTGGTCACTGGTGCCTAACCCCAAGGATCGGAGGGAAAATAAAAGCAGCAGCAGCAGGGGGAATACAAAGGCGGCCAGTTGCGTTTCGTGGACGCTGACCTACGCCGCCTCCAGCTCGCAGGCTCCCCGACCATCACCAGGGGGCTACGGCTACCCGGGAGGATGAGAAGGTGGAGGAGGTGGAGAGAAGGTGGAGAAGAAGAGGTGGAGAAGAGGTGGATATCTTTGCCGTCGTCGCTCTGCGTACTGCGGCCGCGTAGGGCAGGCGAGCGGCGTCTCCGGAGCGAACGGCGTCTCCGGAGCGAGCGGGAGAGGCACGGCATGGAGCGTCGCACAGACCCCGGGCGGCCCGCGCTAGGCCAGCGTGCCGTCCGCGCGGCTAGCAGGCGCATTTACTCCGCTTGACGTCGCCGGCGCCGTCCGCGAAGACCCCGCCGGGGCCGCCTCCGCTTCCCCTGTGGGCGCCGGGCAGCGTGGAGCGTCCGAGCGTCGACTCCATCCTCTTCATGATGAGGTCGAGCAGCGCGGTGACGGCCGCGGCGACGTTGGCGCCCGACGCGGCGCTCGACTCGAAGTAAGGCATCCTGCACGCGCGCCGTCGGGGACGTCAGGGACATCGGTCACACGGGGTGGGGGTGGGGGAGGTGGGGGGGGTGGAAGGTGTCCCGGTGAGTGTTCCGCTCCCTGTGCGGTGTCGCGCGACGCGCTCGTCTGTGACGCCGTCAGTCGACCCGTGGCACCTGCTGGGTCTGCCCCGTGACCTCCTGCCAGCGGGCGTTCGACACTTCACGTGGTAGCCTCAAGGTGCACATGGTCCTGGCACAAGCGTCGTGGTGACGTCACCGCCACTTAGTGGCGAATGGCGGTTGTTGTTGTGTTTTTTCATCAGCCAGTCATCTCAGTCATCTCGGTCAGTCGACCCGTGGCACCCGCTGGGTCCACCCCGTGACCTCCTGCCAGCGGGCGTTCGACACTTTCACGTGGTAGCCTCAATGTGCACATGGCCTGGCACAAGCGTCGTGGTGACGTCACCGCCACTTAGTGGCGAATGGCGGTTGTTGTTGTTGTTGCGTGTCAAATTAAACCGGCAGATCGCCGGCGGAGTTGGTCAATCGGCACCGCAGGTTCCGGATGTCGGAGCTTGGCCCGTGTTGTGTTTCCGCGTTGGTCAGTGGGTGTCGTGTCGTGTGCATGTTGCGTGTCGTGTGCATGTTGCGACACAGATGTCCCTCCTGGACATACTGTTAGAAAGAGCTTCATAGCTCGTCGGATTCCGCGCTAGTCGGAGGTGCAGTGCTGCACCGATGGGCAGTGTTGAGTCTATGGGCAGTGTTGAGTCTATGGGTAGTGTTGAGTCTATGGTGCAGTGTTGAGTCTATGGGCAGTGTTGAGTCTATGGGTAGTGTTGAGTCTATGGGTAGTGTTGAGTCTATGGGCAGTGTTGAGTCTATGGTGCAGTGTTGAGTCTATGGGCAGTGTTGAGTCTATGGTGCAGTGTTGAGTCTATGGGCAGTGTTGAGTCTATGGGTAGTGTTGAGTCTATGGTGCAGTGTTAAGTCTATGGGCAGTGTTGAGTCTATGGGTAGTGTTGAGTCTATGGGCAGTGTTGAGTCTATGGTGCAGTGTTGAGTCTATGTGCAGTGTTGAGTCTATGGTGCAGTGTTGAGTCTATGGGCAGTGTTGAGTCTATGGGCAGTGTTGAGTCTATGGTGCAGTGTTGAGTCTATGGGCAGTGTTGAGTCTATGGGTAGTGTTGAGTCTATGGTGCAGTGTTGAGTCTATGGGCAGTGTTGAGTCTATGGGTAGTGTTGAGTCTATGGGCAGTGTTGAGTCTATGGGTAGTGTTGAGTCTATGGGTAGTGTTAGTCTATGGGTAGTGTTGAGTCTATGGTAGTGTTGAGTCTATGGGCAGTGTTGAGTCTATGGGTAGTGTTGAGTCTATGGGTGTGTTGAGTCTATGGGCAGTGTTGAGTCTATGGGTGTTGAGTCTATGGTGCAGTGTTGAGTCTATGGGCAGTGTTGAGTCTATGGTGCAGTGTTGAGTCTATGGGCAGTGTTGAGTCTATGGGCAGTGTTGAGTCTATGGTGCAGTGTTGAGTCTATGGTGCAGTGTTGAGTCTATGGTGCAGTGTTGAGTCTATGCAGTGTTGAGTCTATGGTAGTGTTGAGTCTATGGGCAGTGTTGAGTCTATGGTGCAGTGTTGAGTCTATGGGCAGTGTTGAGTCTATGGTGCAGTGTTGAGTCTATGGGCAGTGTTGAGTCTATGGTAGTGTTGAGTCTATGGGCAGTGTTGAGTCTATGGTGCAGTGTTGAGTCTATGGGCAGTGTTGAGTCTATGGTAGTGTTGAGTCTATGGTAGTGTTGAGTCTATGGGTAGTGTTGAGTCTATGGGTAGTGTTGAGTCTATGGGCAGTGTTGAGTCTATGGGTAGTGTGAGTCTATGGGCAGTGTGAGTCTATGGGCAGTGTTGAGTCTATGGTAGTGTTGAGTCTATGGGCAGTGTTGAGTCTATGGGCAGTGTTGAGTCTATGGGTAGTGTGAGTCTATGGGCAGTGTTGAGTCTATGGGCAGTGTTGAGTCTATGGGCAGTGTTGAGTCTATGGGCAGTGTTGAGTCTATGGGCAGTGTTGAGTCTATGGGCAGTGTTGATCTATGTGCAGTGTTGAGTCTATGGGTATGTTGAGTCTATGGGCAGTGTTGATTCTATGGGCAGTGTTTGAGTCTATGGGTCAGTGTTGAGTCTATGGGCAGTGTTGAGTCTATGGGTAGTGTTGAGTCTATGGGCAGTGTTGAGTCTATGGGCATTGTTGAGTCTATGGTGCAGTGTTGAGTCTATGGGCAGTGTTGAGTCTATGGGGCAGTGTTGATTCTATGGGCAGTGTTGAGTCTATGGGTAGTGTTGAGTCTATGGTGCAGTGTTGAGTCTATGGGCAGGTTGAGTCTATGGGTAGTGTTGAGTCTATGGGTCAGTGTTGAGTCTATGTGCCAGTGTTGAGTCTATGGGCTAGTGTTGAGTCTATGGGCAGTGTTGAGTCTATGGGTAGTGTTGAGTCTATGGTGCAGTGTTGAGTCTATGGGCATGTGTTGAGTCTATGGGAGTGTTGAGTCTATGGGCAGTGTTGAGTCTATGGGCAGTGTTAGTCTGGGCAGGTTGATCTATGGGCAGTGTTGAGGTCTATGGGCAGTGTTGAGTCTATGGGTAGTGTTGAGTCTAATGGGCAGTGTTGAGTCTATGGTGCAGTGTTGAGTCTATCTATGGGTAGTGTTGAGTCTATGGCAGTGTTGAGTCTATGGTGCAGTGTTGAGTCTATGGGCAGTGTTGAGTCTATGGGTAGTGTTGAGTCTATGGGCAGTGTTGAGTCTATGGGCAGTGTTGAGTCTATGGGTAGTGTTGAGTCTATGGGCAGTGTTGAGTCTATGGGTAGTGTGAGTCTATGGGCAGTGTGAGTCTATGGGCAGTGTTGAGTCTATGGGTAGTGTTGAGTCTATGGGTAGTGTTGAGTCTATGGGAGTGTTGAGTCATGGTAGTGCTGAGTCTATGGGCAGTGGAGTCTATGGGCAGTGTTGAGTCTATGGGCAGTGTTGAGTCTATGGGCAGTGTTGAGTCTATGGGCAGTGTTGAGTCTATGGGTAGTGTTGAGTCTATGGGTAGTGTTGAGTCTATGGGTAGTGTTGAGTCTATGGGCAGTGTTGAGTCTATGGGTAGTGCTGAGTCTATGGGCAGTGCTGAGTCTATGGGCAGTGTTGAGTCTATGGGTAGTGTTGAGTCTATGGGTAGTGTTGAGTCTATGGGGAGTGTTGAGTCTATGGGTAGTGCTGAGTCTATGGGCAGTGCTGAGTCTATGGGCAGTGTTGAGTCTATGGGCAGTGTTGAGTCTATGGGCAGTGTTGAGTCTATGGGCAGTGTTGAGTCTATGGGCAGTGTTGATTCTATGTGCAGTGTTGAGTCTATGGGTAATGTTGAGTCTATGGGCAGTGTTGATTCTATGGGCAGTGTTGAGTCTATGGGTAGTGTTGAGTCTATGGGCAGTGTTGAGTCTATGGGTAGTGTTGAGTCTATGGGCAGTGTTGAGTCTATGGGCAGTGTTGAGACTATGGGCAGTGTTGAGTCTATGGGTAGTGTTAGTCTATGGGCAGTGTTGAGTCTATGGTGCAGTGTTGAGTCTATGGGCAGTGTTGAGTCTATGTGCAGTGTTGAATCTATGTGCAGTGTTGAGTCTATGGTGCAGTGTTGAGTCTATGTGCAGTGTTGAGTCTACGGGCAGTGTTGAGTCTATGGGCAGTGTTGAGTCTATGTGCAGTGTTGAGTCTATGGTGCAGTGTTGAGTCTATGGGTAGTGTTGAGTCTATGTGTAGTGTTGAGTCTATGGGTAGTGTTGAGTCTATGGGCAGTGTTGAGTCTATGGGTAGTGTTGAGTCTATGGGTAGTGTTGAGTCTATGGGTAGTGTTGAGTCTATGGGCAGTGTTGAGTCTATGGGTAGTGTTGAGTCTATGGGTAGTGTTGAGTCTATGGGTAGTGTTGAGTCTATGGGCAGTGTTGAGTCTATGGGTAGTGCTGAGTCTATGGGAAGTGCTGAGTCTATGGGCAGTGTTGAGTCTATGGGTAATGTTGAGTCTATGGGCAGTGTTGAGTCTATGGGTAGTGTTGAGTCTATGGGTAGTGTTGAGTCTATGGGTAGTGTTGAGTCTATGGGCAGTGTTGAGTCTATGGGTAGTGTTGAGTCTATGGGTAGTGTTGAGTCTATGGGCAGTGTTGATTCTATGAGCAGTGTTGAGTCTATGGGTAATGTTGAGTCTATGGGCAGTGTTGATTCTATGTGCAGTGTTGAGTCTACGTGCAGCGTTGAGTCTATGTGCAATGTTGAGTCTATGTGCAGTGTTGAGTCTATGTGCAATATTGAGTCTATGTGCAGTGTTGAGTCTATGTGCAGTGTTGAGTCTATGTGCAGTGTTGAGTCTATGTGCAGTGTTGAGTCTATGTGCAATGTTGAGTCTATGTGCAGTGTTGAGTCTATGTGCAGTGTTGAGTCTATGTGCAGTGTTGAGTCTATGTGCAGTGTTGAGTCTACGTGCAGCGTTGAGTCTATGGTGCAGCGTTGAGCGCTGACCCGTAAGAGTCCGCGAGTTCGCGCGCCTGCTTGGCCGAGACGACGCGCAGGTCCTCCAGGTCCGACTTGTGTCCGCACAGCACCACGTCCGGGCTCTCGCAGTACGCGTGCATCTGCAGTTGCTCTACGCGCGGGACACACGAGGAAACAGGTGGGCTCCGTCGTAAACCGCGAACCCCCGGGGCGCGCTTCTGCGTGTTTTTTTCTTCATTCGTCCTCATCTTCTTCTTCTTGGTTCTTTCGGTAAAGTCACGTAGAAGGGAAGTAATAGAATGTTAAAAAATAAAACGTAAAAATAATAATTCTCACGACGTTTCGTGAGAATTAGACGCTGTCTCCCCGACAGACCTGTTCTTCACCTGAGGACGGCTGCTTGCGTTGTGGCCGAAACGTCGTGAGAATTTTTTTAAATGTTTTATTTTTATTATTTTATTATTTCCCTTCTACGTGACTTTACCGAAAGTCGGGATCGAAGTTTGTGAATACCAGGCGAGGTAGCACGACGTGCTTGCGTGATGACGCTGGTGGTGGTGGCGTTCTTATGGTATGGTCGCTCAACAGAGAAGCCCCTAGCGACGAGCGGCCGAATTACGTCAACGAATCGTCATTCCTGCAAAAGACCCCCCCACCCCGAACCGTCGACCCTCCCCGGTTTACAACCTTTCAATGGGATCGGGGGGCCGCGTGGCCGATGCGTCCACGCCGATGCACCACGTGGGCGCCGTCGAAGATTCAACGGAGCCCGTGCTTGAGCCCGAGGGTTGAGGGGGGGGGGGGTCACGTGGTGGGGGAGTGGGGGAGGGGGAGTGGGGGGGGGAGTGGGGGGGGGGCACGTGGTGGGGGAGTGGGGGGGCACGTGGTGGGGGAGTGGGGGGGGGGGCACGTGATGGGGGTGCTCCCACGGACTCACCCATCCAGCTGCGCACGTTCAGGAAGCTCTGCTCGCTGGTCAGGTCGAACATGAGCAGGAAGCCCATGGCGTCGCGGAAGAACGCCGTGGTGAGGCTGCGGAACCTGCCACACGGTGGGGCAGACGCGTCGCGGTCGCTACTCGGTGGCGGCGGTGGCGGCGATGTCGGTAGTGGTGACCGTGGCCGCGGCGGTTGTGATGGTGACAGTGGTGGCGGTTGGTGATGGTGTTGGTGGTGATGGTGACGGTGGCGGTGATAACAGTGACAGTGGTGACGGTGGTGGTGACGGTGGAGGCAGTTGGTAGTGGTGACGGTGATGGTGGTGGTAACGGAAGCAGTTGGTAGTGGTGATGGTGGTGGTGACGGAGGCAGTTGGTAGTGGTGGTGGTGACGGTGACGGCAGTTGGTAGTGTTGATGGTGGTGGGGTCAGTTGGTAGTGGTGATGGTGTGGGTGTGGTGGTGGTGGTGGTGACAGTGGAAGCAGTTGGTAGTGGTGATGGTGGTGGTGGCGTCAGTTGGTAGTGGTGATGGTGTGGTGGTGGTGGTGACGGTGGAAGCAGTTGATAGTGGTGATGGTGGTGGTGACGTCAGTTGGTAGTGGTGATGGTGGTGGCGTCAGTTGGTAGTGGTGATGGTGGTGGTGACGTCAGTTGGTAATGGTGATGGTGGTGGCGTCAGTTGGTAGTAGTGATGGTGGTGACGTCAGTTGGTAGTGGTGATGGTGGTGACGTCAGTTGGTAGTGGTGATGGTGTGGTGGTGGTGGTGGTAATGGTGGTGAAAGTGGAAGCAGTTGGTAGTGATGATGGTGGTGGAGGCAGTTGGTAGTGGTGATGATGGTGGTGGTGGTGACGTCAGTTGGTGGTGGTGGTGAGGTCACCTCTCCTGGCCGGCAGTGTCCCACAGCTGGAGATGAATCTTCTGCTTGCGACCGCCCAGAAGGCCCTCCTCGCCCGAGGCCTGGTACACCTGGTGGAAACCATCGGGGTTGACTGTTCGAGACTCAACTTGGTGGAAACCATCGGGGTTGACTGTTCGAAACTCAACTTGGTGGAAACCGCCAGGGTTGACGGCTCAACGACAAATCCCCGTCTTTAAAATCCCGAAGGGCGACCGCATTCTCCGCTTTATTTCCCGGACCTCGGGATTTAGCGCGGGTTGGCTACGTACGGAGCGCAAAAAAAATAGTTCTTCGTACACACAGACATATGCATGTAGATATGTGTCCATACACGTATGTTGACCCTCTTTCGCGCACCGTACGTAACCAACCATGCTAATCAGAGGTGCGTTGGAAGAACAACAAGCTGAACACAAAAGGCAGTTTAAAAAAAATTTGTTATCAACCTAGATGATTTTAAAGTAGCATAGCTCCAGTGGCGGACGCACGTATGATGGGTAATTGCGTTATTTTAAATGTGCATCATCCTAACAGTTTTGTGTACCGGCTGCCGGGGGCCAGGCTGGAGTACAAAGTTGCGAGCCAAAAGCACAAAAACGCGAGACGATAACAACAACAACAAATGTGAAACGCAATTACGAAGTAGTGGGAAACTGACATCGCGATGACTGTAGAAGAACCAGTGGCATCTACATCTACGGAACGTGAATAATCAGTGGCATCTACATCTGCAGAACGTGAAGAATTAGTGGCATCTACATCTGCAGAACGTGAAGAACTAGTGGCATCTACATCTGCAGAACGTGAAAAACTAGTGGCATCTACATCTGCAGAACGTGAAGAACCAGTGGCATCTACTCCTGCAGAATGTGAAGAACCTGTGGCATCTACATCTGCAGAACGTGAAGAACCAGTGGCATCTACATCTGCATCTACATCTGCAGAACGTGAAGAACCAGTGACATCTACATCTGTAGAACGTGAAAAACCAGTGGCATCTACATCTGTAGAACGTGAAGAACCAGTGGCATCTACATCTGTAGAACGTGAAAAACCAGTGGCATCTACATCTGTAGAACGTGAAAAACCAGTGGCATCTACATCTGTAGAACGTGAAAACCCAGTGGCATCTACATCTGCAGAACGTGAAGAACCAGTGGCATCTACATCTGTAGAACGTGAAAAACCAGTGGCATCTACATCTCCAGAACGTGAAGAACCAGTGGCATCTACATCTGCAGAACGTGAAAAACCAGTGGCATCTACATCTGCATCTATATCTGCAGAACGTGAAGAACCAGTGGCATGTACATCTGCGGGACGTGAAAAACCGGTGGCATCTACATCTGCAGAACGTGAAGAATCAGTGGCATCTACATCTGCAGAACGTGAAGAACCAGTGGCATCTACATCTGCATCTACATCTGCAGAACGTGAAGAACCAGTGACATCTACATCTGTAGAACGTGAAAAACCAGTGGCATCTACATCTGTAGAACTTGAAGAACCAGTGGCATCTACATCTGTAGAACGTGAAAAACCAGTGGCATCTACATCTGTAGAACGTGAAAAACCAGTGGCATCTACATCTGTAGAACGTGAAAACCCAGTGGCATCTACATCTGCAGAACGTGAAGAACCAGTGGCATCTACATCTGTAGAACGTGAAAAACCAGTGGCATCTACATCTCCAGAACGTGAAGAACCAGTGGCATCTACATCTGCAGAACGTGAAAAACCAGTGGCATCTACATCTGCATCTATATCTGCAGAACGTGAAGAACCAGTGGCATGTACATCTGCGGGACGTGAAAAACCGGTGGCATCTACATCTGCAGAACGTGAAGAATCAGTGGCATCTACATCTGCAGAACGTGAAGAACCAGTTGCATCTACATCTGCAGAACGTGAAGAACCAGTTGCATCTACATCTGTATAACGTGAAGAACCAGTGGCATCTACATCTACAGAACGTGAAGAATCAGTGGCATCTACATCTGCAGAACGTGAAGAACCAGTTGCATCTACATCTGCAGAACGTGAAAAACCAGTTGCATCTGCATCTGCAGAACGTGAAGAACTAGTGGCATCTACATCTGTATAACGTGAAGAACCAGTGGCATCTACATCTACAGAACGTGAAGAATCAGTGGCATCTACATCTACAGAACGTGAAGAACTAGTGGCATCAACATCTGCAGAACGTGAAGAACCAGTGGCATCTACATCTGCAGAACGTGAAGAACCAGTGGCATCTACATCTGCAGAACGTGAAGAACCAGTGGCATCTACATCTGCAAAAAGGGAAAAACCAGTGGCATCTACGTCTGCAGAACGTGAAGAACCAGTGGCATCTACATCTGCGGAACGTGAAAAACCAGTGGCATCTACATCTGTAGAACGTGAAAAACCAGTGGCAAATACGTCTGCAGAACGTGAAGAACCAGTGGCATCTACATCTGCAGAATATGAAGAACCAGTGGCATCTACATCTGTAGAACGTGAAAAACCAGTGGCATCTACGTCTGCAGAACGTGAAGAACCAGTGGCATCTACATCTGCAGAATATGAAGAACCAGTGGCATCTACATCTGTAGAACGTGAAAAACCAGTGGCATCTACGTCTGCAGAACGTGAAGAACCAGTGGCATCTACATCTGCAGAACATGAAGAACCAGTGGCATCTACATCTACAGAACGTGAAGAACCAGTGGCATCTACATCTGCAGAATGTGAAGAACCAGTGGCATCTACATCTACAGAACGTGAAGAACCAGTGGCATCTACATCTACAGAAGGTGAAGAACCGGTGGCATCTACATCTGCAGAACGTGAAGAACCAGTGGCATCTACATCTGCAGAACGTGAAGAACCAGTGGCATCTACATCTACAGAATGTGAAGAACCAGTGGTATCTACATCTGCAGAATGTGAAGAACCAGTGGCATCTACATCTGCAGAACGTGAAGAACCAGTGGCATCTACATCTACAGAATGTGAAAAACCAGTGGTATCTACATCTGCAGAACATGAAGGACCAGTGGCATCTACATCTACAGAACGTGAAGAACCAGTGGCATCTACATCTGCAGAATGTGAAGAACCAGTGGCATCTACGTCTCCGGTACGTGAAGAACCAGTGGCATCTACATCTGCAGAATGTGAAGAACCAGTGGCATCTACATCTACAGAACGTGAAGAACCAGTGGCATCTACATCTGCGGAACGTGAAGAACCAGTGGAATCTACGTCTGCAGAACGTGAAGAACCAGTGGCATCTACATCTGCAGAACGTGAAGAACCAGTGGCATCTACATCTACAGAACGTGAAGAACCAGTGGCATCTACGTCTGCAGAACGTGAAGAACCAGTGGCATCTACATCTGCAGAACGTAAAGAACCAGTGGCATCTACATCTGCAGAACATGAAGAACCAGTGGCATCTACATCTGCAGGACGTAAAGAACCAGTGGCACCAGTGGCATCTACATCTGCAGGAGATTATACAACTTTTAAAGCCACTCCCCGTGTTTAGTCTACACGCCGTACAACACGTTTGGAATCGAGTAAAATTCGGACTCAAGAACAAATCGACTTACGACAACGGACCTCTGGAACTTAATTATAGATTTGAAGCTTTCGTGACTGCAAGGATTCATATTCTTAGGTTTTTTCGGTAAAGTCATGTAGGTAAAAAAAATTCAATTAATAAAAGTAAAATAAAAATAAAATAAAAATCACGACGTTTCGGAGGCAACACAAGCTTCCGTCTTCAGGTGGAACCGTCACAGCCACGATAGCTGTATCAAGTGAGAGAAATTCCAAGAAACAGTATTTGTATATTTCGATTTAAAGCTTTCGTGACTGCAGCGATTCATCTTCGTGGTTCTTTCGGTAAAGTCACGCAGAAGGGAAACAACAAAACAATAAAAACTTAGTTTCGTTCGTAAGTAGGGGAGAGTTCCCGTACGCGCAACGACCTCGATGCTCGGTCGAGCGAGGAAGTCGATTTGACCTTTTTGAGAGTAAGCCGGACTGCCCCTGCCGCGATACCCACCACTCGCTTCTCCTTGAAGTCGATGCCGACCGTGGCGATGAACTTGGCACGGAAGATCCCGTCGGTGTACTGGTGCAGGAAGCTCGTCTTGCCGACGCCCGAGTCTCCCAGCGCCAGCAACTTGATGAGGTAGTCATAGTCCCCATCCGACATGGCCAACTCGTGACCTGCCAACACACGGCGCATACCACCACTACAACACACCCCACCACCACTACCACCACACACAGCGCCACCACCACCGCCACCACCACCACACACAGCGCCTGCCACCACCACCACCACCGCCACCACCACACACAGCGCCTGCCACCACCACCACCACCGCCACCACCACACACAGCGCCTGCCACCGCCACCACCACCACCACACACAGCGCCACCACCACCACTACCACCACCATAACCACTACACACAGCGCCTGCCACCACACACAACGCCTGCCACCACCACCACCGCCACCACCACCACACACAGCGCCTGCCACCACCACCACCGCCACCACCACCACACAGCGCCTGCCACCACCACCACCACCGCCACCACCACACACAGCGCCTGCCACCACCACCACCACCACACACAGCGCCACCACCACCACTACCACCACCATAACCACTACACACAGCGCCTGCCACCACCACCACCACACACAACGCCTGCCACCACCACAAATACTGACGTTCATTCTTCACAGAGTTATTTCTCAGAACCATGTTGGGTTCAGGCGAGGTGGTGGTGGAGGTGGTGGTGGTGGTGGTGGAGGTGGTGGTGAAGGTGGTGGTGGTGGTGGTGGAGGTGGCGGTGGTGGTGGAGGTGGCGGTGGTGGTGGTGGAGGTGGTGGTGGAGGTGGCGGTGGCGGTGGCGGTGGTAGAGGTGGTGGTGGAGGTGGTGGTGGTGATGGTGGTGGAGGTGATGGAGGAGGTGGTGGAGGTGGTGGTGTGGTAGCTCGGGGTGACGCAACATTAAAATGTTGACGAGCGCTATGCCTGGCGCGTCCACTTCGCGTGCCGACAATTCCTCGTTGCTGTTGCAGTTGCGGGCAACTAGTGAGTAATCGACACCGCCTATCACAATTATCCCTCCTGTCCAAATCGGCCAGCCGAATCGCCTTTATTCAATTTGCTAGAGAGAGAGAGCGAGAGAGAAAACCACGACCACCCCAACAACAAAAACACAAATCTGCCCCATCGCTTCCTTCTTCACCATTCCCAATTACCGCGTCCCAAATGTCTCAAACTCCACGCCGACCCCATCACCACCGCCTCCTCCTCCTGCTGCTGCTGCTTCTGCTGCTGCTGCTAATGCTCCTACTGCTGCTGCTCCAGCTGCTGCTACTGCTGCTGCTTCTGCTGCTGCTACTGCTGCTGCTGCTACTACTGCTGCTGCTTCTGCTGCTGCTACTGCTGATACTGCTGCTGCTACTGCTGCTACTGCTGCTACTGCTGCTGCTCATCCCAAACGAAGCCGTCCCCTGTCCATCGTCCCGCGGTTCTGACGCGGAATAAATCAACGGGGTTGAGTAGAAATTGGTGACGAGCGCTGGTATCGTTCGTCCGAGGACAGAGAGAGAGGCGGGGAGAGAGACAGAAAGAGAGACAGACAGAGAGAGAGGCGGGGAGAAAGACAGAGAGAGAGACAGAGAGAGAGGCGGGGAGAAAGACAGAGAGAGAGACAGACAGAGAGAGAGGCGGGGAGAGAGACAGAGAGAGAGACAGACAGAGAGAGAGGCGGGGAGAGAGACAGAGAGAGAGACAGACAGAGAGAGACAGAGAGAGAGACAGACAGAGAGAGACAGAAGAGAGACAGAGAGAGACAGAGAGAGAGACAGACAGAGAGAGAGGCGGGGAGAGAGACAAGGCGCTCTTCCCCCTCCAACCCAGCTTAAATATACGCTCCAAGCCTGGTGGTGTTTCATTCAGACTCTGTCTTTCCGACAGATCTATTCTTCACCTGAGGACGGCTGCTTGCGTTGTGGCCGAAACGTCGTGAGAATTATTTTATTATGTTTTATTTTTATTATTGTATTACTTCCCTTCTACGTGACTTTACCGAAAGAACCAAGAAGAAGTATAGTGTATAGTGTAGTGTATAGTGTATAGTAGTGTAGTGTATAGTGTAGTGTATAGTGTAGTATACTAGTACAGCACTAACCGGTTGTGTGTTGGAGAGTAAACCCATTACACAATTTACAATTATAGTGTAGTGTATAATGTAGTATATAGTGTAGTGTACAGTGTAGTGTACTAGTACAGCACTAAGCCATAATGCAAACAAAAACATAACTCTGATAATATATGCACTGTCCTGCATATATTATCAGAGTTATGTGTTTTGTTTGCATTATGGCTGCAGGTATTGTGGTCTATGCAAACATGACTCCTCGTAAAAAAAAAGGTGTCAGTTTTGTTGCCAGATAGAAGGGTAAAAAAACAATTATCAATCGACATCCCGTCAATTTCACATTCCTGTGTGAGGTCTGACGGAGCATTCCGTCCAATTGGGGGTCGTGATGGGGCATTCCTTTTGTGACTTTCAATTAGAATAATTATTGCGACCCTTTTTTTAATCCCTTGACATTTTCGTAAACATCTTCTTGGTTCTTTCGGTAAAGTCACGTAGAAGGGAAGTAATAAAATAATAAATAAAAATGTGGCCGAAACGTCGCGAGAATTATTAAATGTTTTATTTTTATTATTGTATTACTTCCCTTCTACGTGACTTTACCGAAAGAACCAAGAAGATGAATCCCTGCAGTCACGAAAGCTTTAAATCGAAATTTTCGTAAACGTTCCGTTCGGCCTGTTGAATGCTCACCAGCAATTAAGCAGAGGCACGCTAATCGCACGCTCTTGCGAGATAAATGTTGCGACGCGATTGATGGAATCCCATACACACAATGCATCATGTGGATTCACTGTAATACACCAACGGGTAATGGGATAGATCCATTTTTGTCATTTATATGCATACATTACACCCCAGCCCTCTGATTTTCGCACCATGATAGATTCACAATCAACGTTTTTGGGTTTAGATCGCGTTATTTATAAATGTGTCGTAACCCTCCACCACCCGACACGGCCAATCAGTAAAAAAGTGTCACGTTGACAAAAGACAAACAGTTCACTGCTTTAGCCCACCGGTGTGTTGAAGCGTGAAACCACAACATTTACAATTTGAGTATGACGTTTCGCTGGTAATTGCATCCAGCATCATCGGGCAATTCGCCATTCTGGCCATTCTGACTATGAAACCCCCCCACCCACCTCCTACGCATTTCCCATGAATATGCTAAATTCCTCTTCATATGCACATTCTTTTTAAGGCGCTCTTCTTGCACCTCCAACCCAGCGTATATATAAGCTCCTAGCTTGGTAGTGTCTCATTCTTCACCTGAAGACGGCTGCTTGCGTTGTAGCCGAAACGTCGTGAGAATTATTTTATTATGTTTTATTTTTATTATTTTATTACTTCCCTTCTACGTGACTTTACCGAAAGAACCAAGAAGATGAATCCCTGCAGTCACGAAAGCTTTAAATCGAAATTTATTTGTCTTTTGTCAACGTGACACTTTTTTACTGATTGGCCGTGTCGGGTGGTGGAGGGTTACGACACATTTATAAATAACGCGATCTAAACCCAAAAACGTTGATTATGAATAATATTGGTCGCGAAAGCCTCCCTCGTGTTAAATAGATTCACAAGCTACGACAAAACATTTATCCACTCCTCGATTTAAGTCGGAAACAGGAGGAGGATTAATCCGCAACTCTGTGGCTGCTGCCTGATGATGCTCTCTCGTTTCTGTTGTTGTTGTTGTTGTAATTACCGGCGAAATGTCGCCAGGTTACTCGAATTCTAAAATGTTGTAGTGGGTTTACTCTCCGACACACAACCGGTTCGTGCTGTACTAGTACACTACACACGACACTGATACACGACACTACACACTACACTATATACTACACTATAATTGTAAATGTTGTAGTGGGTTTACTCTCCGATACACAACCGGTTAGTGCTGTACTAGTACACTACACACGACACTATACACTACACTATACACTACACTACACTATAATTGTAAATAGTGTAGTGGGTTAACTCTCCAACACACAACCGGTTAGTGCTGTACTAGTATTTTACACGATACTCTACACTATCCACTACACTATATACTACACTATACACTACACTGCTATACACTACACTATACACTACTACACACTACACTATGCACTGCTATACACTACACTATACACTACACTATACAGTACACTATACACTACACTATAATTGTTAATGTTGTAGTAACGAATTGACAGGTTTCGTGTTGCGTGACGCGCCCTCACTCATTGGCTGCGTCGGAGTTGGTGACGGTCTTCACGACACATTGATGTCTACGCGACGTACCCCACACACCCCCCCCCCCAAACAAAACCTCTTATATAGATAATATTTCTCGCGAAAGCCCTACGACTACTATTACTCCGTGGTGTAATTGGGCCAAACAAACCCATCGTGACATAGCCTGGACATCGTCATCATCATCGTCATCTTCTTCATCATCATCGTCATCATCGCCATCATCATCGTCATCTTCTTCATCATCATCGTCATCATCGCCATCATCATCGTCATCATTAACATCGTTATCATCATCGTCGTCATCATCGTCATCATCATCATCGTCATCATCATCGTCATCATCATCATCGTCATCATCATCGTCATCATTAACATCGTTATCATCATCATCGTCGTCATCATCGTCATCATCATCGTCATCATCATCATCGTCATCATCATCGTCATCATTAACATCGTTATCATCATCATCGTCGTCATCATCTTCATCGTTATCTTCATCATCGTCGTCATCATCTTCATCATCATCGTCATCATTAACATCGTTATCATCATCGTCGTCATCATCATCATCGTCATCATCATCATCGTCATCATCATCATCATCGTCGTCATCGTCGTCGTCATCATCGTCATCCTCCTTCCCTCCCCTCTCTCGCGGGCTCCATCCACGTTGGGTCCTTGATGAGCGCGATGGCGTGATGAGTCAGCACACACCGTGTGTGTACAGACACACACAACATACACACACATCCACACACATACACACACACACAACCACACACACACAAACACACCACACACACTCATCCACACACATACACACAAACACACCCACACAAACACACCACACATACACACACACACACTCATCCACAAACACACCACACACACTCATCCACACACACACACAACCACACGCACACCCACGCACGCGCACACACCCACGTACACACACCCACGCATACCCACGCACACACACCCACGCACACACACACACACCCACGCACACACTCCACCCACCCCCCCTCACCCCCCCACACTCCACCCAACCCCTCCACACCCCCCCCCCCCCCACTCCCCACCCCACCAGGACCTCTCTGCCGCCTTGGACGCCACAGGGATGAACAATGGTGGAGCGGTGGCGCAATGGTTAGCGCGCTGTGCCACTGCTGACGCCCAACACGATTCAGTTACCCCACCAAGGCTGCTGTGACCGGCGTGGTGAAGTATGATCAAGCAACCCCCCCCGCCCCCCAAACACACAACCGACACGACAAACTCGTCTTGAATCCGCTGTGTGTTTGTGTGCTTAGTCGGAATAAACAACAACAACAACGGGGAGCGGTGGTGCAGCGGTTAGCGCCACGCCGCGCTACAAACCGACCCGAGTTCGACTGCCAGCGACCCGTCCTGGGCCTCCCCTAGGTCGACTCGGCGTAAAATGAGTGCAAAAAAAACCGTCGCTTTCGGGGAGACAAAGGCGGCCGTTTGCGTGGTGCCGGCCACCCCCACCCCAACCCGGCCTTCGTGAACAGCACTTGCAACCCACAGTCTCCATCAGACCACATCGCGAGAGCGTCTTTGTTTGAAGGCCACGGGCTGACTGACTTGAGACGATTGCCCCACAACCACACAAACACAACAACAACAACAGCAACAACAACAACCGCCATTCGCCACTAAGTAGCGGTGACGTCCCCACGACGCTTGTGCCAGGACCATGTGCACCTTGAGGCCATCACGTGAAGTGTCGAACGCCCGCTGGCAGGAGGTCACGGGGCAGACCCAGCAGGTGCCACGGGTCGACTGACTCAGACGACTGGCTGATGCACAAGTCAAAAAGACAAAGATCCCCCGTGTAGCCTTAACAGACTGCAGGGGCAAGTGCTGTTAGCGAGCACCTATGAAGGCCAGAACGGCACACGAGGTGATGGGTGACCAGCACCACGCCCGGTCGCCTTTGTCTCCCCAGTGGCGATGTTTACACACCGCACCAGGTACTCATTTGGAGACCGAGTCGACCTAGGGGAGGCCCAGGGACTGGTTCAGACAATCGTCACTGATGTTGGCCGTGAGCGGGAATCGAACCCGGGTCGCCAGGTTCGTAGCGCAGCGTAGCGCTAACCGCTACACCACCGCTCCCCACACACACACGCGCACGCCAACACCCCCCACGACCCCCCTCTCTCTCTCTCCCACCTCTCGCTACGATCCCCTTCCCCGTGACTCACTGTGAGAAGAGCGGTGGGCACAGACGAGTGGTGACGACCCCTTCCCCCCCGCTCCTCCTCCTCCTACCCCGATGATGTTGGTACTCCGCGCGTGGCGTCTTCTCTGGATGCGCGTGCGTGCCACAGCGGCTGCGCGCGTGCGTGTGCGTGCAGTGAGCGTGCGTTGCTGCGTGCGACTAAAATGTGTCATCGGTGTCGGTGCGGCTGTCTGTGTCAGCGCGCGCGTGTCGGTTAAGCGAGCGTGTCTCTCCCGTGTGTGTGTGTCAGTACCTGTGTGTCAGCACGTGTCAGTACCTACGTGTCAGTATCTAAGCAGTACCTGAGACGCTGTCTCCCCGACAGACCTGGTCTTCACCTGAGGACGGCTGCTTGCGTTGTGGCCGAAACGTCGTGAGAATTTTATTTTATTACGTTTTAATTTTTGTTATTTTATTACTTCCCTTTCTACGTGATGACTTTACCGAAAGAACCAAGAAGATGAATCCCTGCAGTCACAAAAGCTTTAAATCGAAATTTACAGTAACTGAGTGTCAGCACCTGGGCGTGATCACCTGAACGCTGGAGATGCCGCACCGACCCCCCTCCCTCCCTGCCTCCTCATTGACCGGCTGCGAGCGATTCCTCTTGACACGGTGGGCGGGTTCGCTCTTTCGCAGCCTCATCAGCAACGGGTTGGCCGGCATTCCATTGGCACCATATGCAGAGTTTGAAGGTCGATGTCACCCGTGATGTCACTCACGTAGTAGGTGGTAGTAGCAGTAGTAGTAGTGGAAGGATCGATGTTATAATGATTGTAGCAATCATCATTACGGCCACGTCAGATGCATTTGGACTTTGGAGATGAGCCTGCCCTGGTGTGGTGTGGGTGGGAAAGGTGTGTGCGGAGGGAGGTCGTTTTAAATCGATCTCAGTCAATTTTTTATCATTTCGGTAAAGTCTACGTGACTTTACCGAAAGAACCAAAGAGTATGGATTCCTGCAGTCACGAAAGCTTCAAATGAAGATTCAATTTATTATCATTGTCGCTTGCTCACTGATTGACAGCAACAACAAGAACAAAAAGACGCGTGTGGCTTAAATATTTGTGTTTGACACAAATTGTGATTTTAACAAACAAGCAAAATGACCGCGGCGGGAGTGAATCCGTAGTCTTGCACGGCCCGCGAAAGGTTTAGCCAGGAGCCTCCTGGGGAACAGAGTCTGGAGCGGTGGTGCTCATCGTTTTCAGAGGTGGGGGGTGAGACGTATTCTTAGGTTTTTTCGGTAAAGTCACGTAGGTAAAAATTTAAAATTAAAATTAATAAAAGTAAAATAAAAATATTTTTTTGTTGTTTCCCTTCTGCGTGACTTTACCGAAAGAACCACGAAGACGAGTCCCTGCAGTCACGAAAGCTTTAATTCGAAATATACAAATACTGTTTCTTGGAATTTCTCTCACTTGATACAGCTATCGTGCTGTGACGGTTCCACCTGAAGACGGAAGCTTGTGTTGCCTCCGAAACGTCGTGATTTTTATTTTATTTTACTTTTATTAATTTTTTTTTACCTACGTTACTTTACCGAAAAACCTAAGAATATGAATCCTTGCAGTCACGAAAGCTTCAAATCTCGGGTGAGAGACACTTTGGCCGATGAGCTATCGTCAGGAGCGTGAGGGTTGCCCGCCACGCCACGTCAAGCCACCATTGGGGGCTTTGTGACAGCAGCACGATGATGATGATGGGGGGGGGGTGGTGGTTTCACCATTTGTGTATTGTCGAGAGGGGCCACACGTTAGTGACGGCACTGAAGGCCACCAGGGGCCACACTAAAGACCACCAGAGGCCACACTAAAGGTCACCAGGAGCCACACTAAAGACCACGAGGGGACACACTAAAGGCCACTAGGGGCCTCACTAAAGGCCACCAGGGGCCACACTAAAGACCACGAGGGGACACACTAAAGGCCACTAGGGGCCTCACTAAAGGTCACCAGGAGCCACACTAAAGACCACGAGGGGACACACTAAAGGCCACTAGGGGCCTCACTAAAGGCCACCAGGGGCCACACTAAAGACCACGAGGGGACACACTAAAGGCCACCAGGGGCCACACTAAAGACCACGAGGGGACACACTAAAGGCCACTAGGGGCCTCACTAAAGGCCACCAGGGGCCACACTAAAGACCACGAGGGGACACACTAAAGGCCACTAGGGGCCACACTAAAGGCCACTAGGGGCCTCACTAAAGGCCACTAGGGGCCTCACTAAAGGCCACCAGGGGCCACACTAAAGGCCACTAGGGGCCACACTAAAGGCCACTAGGGGCCTCACTAAAGGCCACCAGGGGCCACACTAAAGGCCACTAGGGGCCTCACTAAAGGCCACTAGGGGCCTCACTAAAGGCCACCAGGGGACACACTAAAGGCCACTAGGGGCCTCACTAAAGGCCACTAGGGGCCTCACTAAAGGCCACCAGGGGCCACACTAAAGGCCACTAGGGGCCACACTAAAGGCCACTAGGGGCCTCACTAAAGGCCACGAGGGGACACACTAAAGGCCACGAGGGGACACACTAAAGGCCACCAGGGGCCACACTAAAGGCCACTAGGGGCCTCACTAAAGGCCACCAGGGGCCACACTAAAGACCACGAGGGGACACACTAAAGGCCACCAGGGGCCACACTAAAGGCCACTAGGGGCCACACTAAAGGCCACCAGGGGCCACACTAAAGACCACGAGGGGACACACTAAAGGCCACTAGGGGCCTCACTAAAGGCCACTAGGGGCCACACTAAAGACCACGAGGGGACACACTAAAGGCCACTAGGGGCCTCACTAAAGGTCACCAGGAGCCACACTAAAGACCACGAGGGGACACACTAAAGGCCACTAGGGGCCTCACTAAAGGCCACCAGGGGCCACACTAAAGACCACGAGGGGACACACTAAAGGTCACCAGGGGGCCTCACTAAAGGTCACCAGGAGCCACACTAAAGACCACGAGGGGACACACTAAAGGTCACCAGGGGGCCTCACTAAAGGTCACGAGGGGCCGCACTAAAGGCCACCAGGGGCCCTACTAAAGGCCACCAGGGGCCACACTAAAGACCACCAGGGGCCTCACTAAAGACCACCAGGGGCGCACTTAAGGCCACCAGGGGCTGCACTTAAGGCCACCAGGGGCCACAATAAAGGCCACCAGGGGCCACACTAAAGACTACCAGGGGCCACACTTAAGGCCACCAGGGGCCACACTTAAGGCCACCAGGGGCGCACTTAAGGCCACCAGGGGCCTCACTAAAGGCCACCAGGGACCACACTAAAGACTACCAGGGGCCACACTTAAGGCCACCAGGGGCCGCACTAAAGGCCATCAGGGGCGCACTTAAGGCCACCAGGGGCCGCACTAAAGGCCACCAGGGGCCTCACTAAAGGCCACCAGGGTCCTCACTAAAGACCACAAGGGGCCTCACTAAAGACCACCAGGGGCTGCACTTAAGGCCACCAGGAGCCACACTAAAGACCACCAGGGGCCTCACTAAAGACCACCAGGGGCCTCACTAAAGACCACCAGGGGCTGCACTAAAGGCCACCAGGGGCCTCACTCGTGGCCCCTGCGATGGCCTTGCAATAAAGAAAGAACACGTGGCCTCGACAGACGCACACCCGAGAAGACAGCCTCGGACGTGCGAACAATTCGTAATTAATTCTAACGCCGACAACGCCGCCATCAAATAATAATCATCGGCATCACATTAATCACAAATAGCATCGGCGTCGATGCCGAATATGAAGTCGCCCCCGGTCGCAGGGAGGCTCCAAGAGTGAGAGCGCAAATTCGGGTTCCGGCTTGTGCAGACGAACTGGAAGATCTGGTCTGCCGGTGAGACGCGGAGCAAGGGGCGCGTCCCACGTGTCTCCAACCACACCCCTTCAACGCCACGGTGGCTATGAGATGTTAACTACCTCGCCTGGTATACAGGAGGTCGTGGGTTCGATCCCGACCCTGACGCCTGCTGCTGTATATTTGGAGTTTGCGTGTCTCTCTCTCTCTCTCATCATCATCACGGTGGCTATGAGATGTTAACTACCTCGCCTGGTATACAGGAGGTCGTGGGTTCGATCCCGACCCTGACGCCTGCTGTATATATGGAGTTTGCGTGTCTTTCTCTCTCATCATCATCATCACGGTGGCTAGATGTTAACTACCTCGCCTGGTATACAGGACGTCGTGGGTTCGATCCAGACCCTGACGCCTGCTGTATATTTGGAGTTTGCGTCTCTCTCTCATCATCATCACGGTGGCTAGGAGATGTTAACTACCTCGCCTGGTATACAGGAGGTCGTGGGTTCGATCCCGACCTGACGCCTGCTGCTGTATATTTGGAGGTTACGTGTCTCTCTCTCTCTCTCATCATCATCACGGTGGCTATGAGATGTTAACTACCTCGCCTGGTATACAGGAGGTTCGTGGGTTCGATCCCGACCCTGACGCCTGCTGCTGTATATTTGGAGTTTGCGTGTCTCTCTCTCTCATCATCATCACGGTGGCTAGGAGATGTTAACTACCTCGCCTGGTATACAGGACGTCGTGGGTTCGATCCAGACCCTGACGCCTGCTGTATATTTGGAGTTTGCGTCTCTCTCTCATCATCATCACGGTGGCTAGGCAGATGTTAACTACCTCGCCTGGTATACAGGAGGTCGTGGGTTCGATCCCGACCTGACGCCTGCTGCTGTATATTTGGAGGTTACGTGTCTCTCTCTCTCTCTCATCATCATCACGGTGGCTATGAGATGTTAACTACCTCGCCTGGTATAGAGGAGGTCGTGGGTTACATCCCGACCCTGACGCCTGCTGCTGTATATTTGGAGTCTGCGTGTCTCTCTCTCTGTCTCATCATCATCACGGTGGCTAGGCAGATATTAACTACCTCGCCTGGTGTGCAGGAGGTTGTGGGTTCGATCCCGACCCTCACGCCTGCTGCTGTGTATTTGGAGTTTGCGTGTCTCTCTCTCTCCACGTGGTCGCGTGGATTTTTCTCTCTGGGTCCTCCGCTTTTTCCCTCCACATAAAGAATCAAAGTCACGCGTTTCAAGCATTTTGGCTGCCGTGATACATTTCCGCGTGATGATGACGATAAGCCACTCTTCGTTAGGCGATCATTTGTTATGACCATGCTCAATCTGGCCTTACCTGGCAAAATGGTCTAGACGAGGGGGCACCCCAAGTGGCAGCTGCCCCAGTGTTCGCTGTCAGGCAGCA